AAGATTCTTAAAAATGCATCTTCTTTCAAAGTTTTGTATAATGAATCATGGATGGGACCAGTTGTAACTGAGTCCACAAAATTTGCTATAGCATGTCTAACTGTTTGGTAAGAGTAAAGGACTAAAAGGTGTAAACCAAGCCATCAGATTCCATAACTAGGCAATTGGCATGCTTAGCACATTTGCATGCTTAAAGACAGATAATTTTAAAGGATCTCGATTCTTGAAGCTCGTCAACACGATAGGACAAAGCAAGCATAAGCAATTGAGTAGAATGTGTACAAACCGAGTTATTAATCCACTTAATTAATTTTATTGCATCGAGTATTTCTGTATTAGCTGGTGCCTCTCAAAGTCTTCTTCATATTCACTAGAAGTTGAGAACAAGAAAACCCTTGCTTTAAGGTTTTTTGTCTCAAAACCTACAAACTAATAGACAGATGTGCAGGTAAATGTACATAGCAACATTGCTGTTACAAAGAATCCATAACAATAGGCACATCAAAAAGACCACGTAGGTTTATCCAAGGAAAACAAATCAAAAAAGCTTATAATATAAGCAGATATCTCCTCTTTATTTTCCCTTTTTATTTCATATATGTAATTTTTTCATTAAAACCCTAATGTATGTCTAGACACTATATAAATATTAAATACACAAGACCAGAAGAAATAGCAATTCAATGGTTGAAAAAGTGGTTTAAAGGTTTAGGAGAAATTACCTGTTCCAGATACTCCAGATCTTATGGAGTGAATGGAGTGAGATCAATTTTGAATTGTTGCTTTCCCTTGCTAACCCTCTGTAAAAGCCAAAAACATGAGTTAAAAGAAAATAGTTTCCACCTCATCAGACATACCGAGTAATAAACAACAAATATGAAGTTATGGTCTTGATCGAGATGAGTTCATGACATTCAGATCTGTAGATTGACGTAAGATATTCCGCATCAAGAAAATTCTATCTCCGTGATCATGATCATTTCATTCATCCATAAATTTTTTATATAAGCATGATATTATGATACTAGAGGCATTCCGCATCTAGGACATTATTGAATTTATATTATGTGATTATAACTGAAGCACCATGGTTTCAGAAGCTTCTTTGTTCATTGATATTTCTACATGTCAATACGCCCAAGCAGACTTTAACCCTTCTATTTCATTATGACCCATTAATATACTAATTCCGANAAAAGAAGAAGAAACGCACACAATCTCCTTTTCCTTTTTATTTTCCTTTCCTTTTCATCGTTTCGTGGGCCCTTGAAAAATTGTACTAGTCATACATAAAACAACTTACAGCAATTGCAATGAGCTCTTCCAAAAGTTCCTCCAAGTGACGTAAAGGCTGCACCATAAAAACGAACGATACCATTTTTCACGTTCCAATACTGGAAGCTCTTGGTTCCAGAAAGCAGTTCAAAATACAGAATTCCCGTATGTGAAACAAAATCCAGTTTATGCTTACCCATTGAGTTGGGCCATCAACAGGAGCCTTCAAAGGGTCATCATGCACCTATTAGCCATAAATGCATAAGAATAATTCACTCCCCATAAGTTTATAAAAAAATTAACTATTGTATCAAATGATCTGTTAGGTACCTCCATAAATATTCCAGCCACCCCAACAGCAACTGCAGTCCGGGCAATACATGGTATCAACTCACGAAGACCACCGCTGGCAACACCACCACCTTCTAACTGTTTATAATTAATCAGTCATTTTTAAGATCAATATTGAAGAAAAATAAAGGGAAATGAAATAGAAGATAGTAAAGCAGATGCAAAAAAGACTAAGCTCTGTTGAATGACGAGCAGTAATGAATACTTAAGGAAATTATTTAGGTTTTGTTTGGGTACGTAGATATGGGTTTGATTAAAAAACTTGAGGCTGAAAGTTTTTAAATCTCCACTCTCCAATACAGGATTGCAAGAAGAATTTCAAATCTAACAGAATGGTACAAAATATATCATAACATTGTTTGCTACGGAAATCAATATTTTTTTAAGCAGAATAATCCAAATAGGTATAGACATAGCACATCACTTGTCACAAACCTCAATACATTTTAGATCCTTCAATCAACACGCTATCTTATACGACTTAAGTAGGGCATGGCGCAGAACTTATATATCACAGGACCTTCTAAAAGGCCACCACCAATACTTTTAGAAGCGAAGGGAAGTGTTCATGGTTATTGAAGTTTGTCGGTGTTTATAGTGACTAAGTGACATATATATTCAGCAAACGTAATTACGGATTAAATGGCATACCTTTTTCCCTGCAGGTTGCTGTAGCGAATGAGTTATATCAGCCACCTGAAAAAGAAAACTAGATAGTTAACTTGAGAGGAATCCTTCCCAAAAATTCAGACAAGAAGTGTATTAAGCAGTTTGGACGTGTTAACCATGGTATTCATGGCATGGGTGCATAGCAAAGCATGGATGTATAATCTTACAACAGGACAGTCGGCCTCTCTCATCCACTCCAAGTTACGTGGATCAACAATCAGGTCATCTGCATATTGGACCAATAAACTTTAGAAAACTATTTACAGAAGGACATCTTCTACACAAAGAATTACTAAAATAGATAGCTAATATGGCAATTAGAAGTCACCAGCCAACCTTGGATATATTATTGCATATAAATATTTTGCCCAACTTTGTAGCGGAGACTTACTATATTTTTAACAGACTCAAATTATTGGATCTTGAAATTTTCATCTATACCAATCAGTTATCTAAGGTCAGTGAGAGCTAGCAAATATTTTTTGGTCAAATGGACTTGGGGATTACTTACTATAGCCAAACATTGTGCCTCTCTCACATACCATGACATTTTCATTTCCGGCCATCCTGATCTTTTCAGCAGAGTTTACCATGACCTATATGACCAATTAAACAAAAGCGAGCAATCAATATCTATAAATGCTTAGAGATGGCAGAAAAAAGAAAATGCGCAACAAAAACTGGGGGGGAATAATAACTCACAGAAGGAGCACAAAATTGGCCTTTCTTGATATTGATTATTTTCCCGGTCTTAGAGGCTGCCACTAGTAGATCACTCTGACATTTGGAGAACACAAAAAACATAGCAAATGACAATTAATAATAGGATGCACGCAATCTCATGTGCCATAAAAGGAGTATAACGATAAGCATCTAGAAATAAAAATCTGAACTGCCTGCACAAGAATGCAGGAATCTGAATTATATCAGCACAAGAATGCAGGAATCTGAATTATATAACGAGTAAGCATCTAGAAATAAAAATCTGACCTGCCTGCACAAGAATGCAGGAATCTGAATTATATCAGCAACTCGACCAACAGCTTCACACTGTAATTAGATACGAGAATTACAGGTTAGCATTGCTTCATTTCGGTTGAGCGTGATTTTTCTTTTAACCTATCCTTATACGTTATTAAAGCTGCTGCTGTCAAAATTTGCAAGGAACATGGCAAAAAATGAACAGATTATAGTATATATCGTTACCATCCAAAGATATAATACCGATCACATGTCCACACATAAGCTGCCTCAGGAAATCCAATGATTAAAGTGACCTATTAAATAATATGATTGTGCATCAAAACAATGTTTAAAATTTCCATCTCAAATCGAACCTGCACTGTCTCATGGACATCGGTGACTACTGGAATGTCATATGTCACTTTTACCTTCTCAAGGATCTGTAGATCAAACAAGCAAACACAACTAAACGTCAAAATTCTTCCCTTAACATGCTCATTTACATCAACACGAGAGTTTCACAATAAAACATCATCATCAACACAAAATCCTTCTCAAAATTCGAAAATACCATACTTGTCCCAATTCAAACAAACAACAACAACAAAGGAATTATCTACCTTCAAGCCTTCGGCCAAACCAGGACCACGAAATGACTTCGAAGAAGTCCTATTAGCTTTCTCGAAGCTAGATTTGAAGACCAGCGGCAATCCAAGCCTATACAATTATCATAACCACAAAATTCACTACTCATTATAGCTACTTAACGTCAACAGCGAAAAAAAAAAAAAAAAAAAAAAACGATAATACAGTAACATTTCCATAAACATCAGAGTACTTAGACGTGATTGCTTTGATGTGCTTGGCCATGTGGAGAATGTGTTCCTCTGATTCGATCACGTTCGGCCCCGCGAGCACGAAAAATGGCTCCGCCGCCTTTTACAGATACGACATTGATACGTGATTCGTGTTTTATTTTTTTCCGAATTTCAACTGAATATTTCCAAAAAAAAAAAAAGAAAAGAGAGAAAAA